CGGGCTTCCCGTCGGTTTGGAAACAGGCTGACACTGCCTCATTTCGCCACGCAAGTGAAATTTTCTAACATGATAGTAAAAGATTGCGAATGGTTGAAATTAATGTACAGTTTGATTGCTTTGGCAGCAAATGAGAGGTCGTGTTATTGACGTACCACGACAGTTCCTCTCGATTTTTGTTTTTTTTGTTTTTTCTGGCGGTGCGGTATTTGTGGAATATTTTACAGGATTTTGCGCTATCAGATTAAAACAAAGCTCTAGTCTTTTACTTATAGTTTTTTTCCGTTTTAACAGGAAAATGGCAGGCATGAAAGGGATGAAAGAATAATATCGTTTACTAAAACGAATATTCTCATTATGTATTAATTACTTGACTGGGTCACAAATTGGGTCCACGTTAACAATTCTTAGTCATCAGTGTGAGTCAGCAAGTTCCCCCATCTCAACAAGTACGAAGACAATTGCAGCCACTGATCGAGTAATCCCTTTTCTAGTGGCCTGAGGATATATTTTTTTTTACCCAATCAAGAAAATTGAAAGACTGAAGCTTAATGGTTGGTTGAGTTTATCGTGAAATAGAGCTTGATTCATTTTACTTCATCGACTCAGTGATGCATTTAAAAGTTTAAAAAGAACAAATTATTCATCTTCAGGTTTTTAATTCGTTGTGGTTTGTTATATTAAAAGCGGCTATCGAAGCAGAATATGCCTTCATCGGTATTAGTTTTGCACTATTACTGCAAATGCACTATAACGAACTAAAAGAATTACTATATTTTTAAGCGAAGAGGTTAAAACTTCCTTTTTTGCGAAGCAGGAAAAAGCTATTAAAAGCAGACCACAGAATCGACGGGTTTTTTTCTTTTGCGTAGATTACATCAGCGCTTCGATGGTTAATTGTTCAACCTGTGTAGACAGTTAGTCAGTTGGATTTCAGTAAAAACCTGTTAGCTACTACCAACATTTCATCGTCAAAGAAGGTGAGTTTTCATTATATATAGAATAACGGGATCTTACATTTGTAGGTTTCATTTTGTTTACTGGTAGCAATTAGCAGAAGGTTAAACGATAAAAAGCTACATCTGAACAATTTACTGATCTGTACATTTTAAAATGCGACTGTGCATCTTCGTTGGCAATGCATTTTAAAGCTAAAAACGGTACCTTAGTAGTTTTGAGGCAAGTTCTAGATACTTGTACATTTCAAAAGCATAAAATTCTTTCTGCAAGGTGCTTTACACGAATTAGAATCAGTCACGATGTGATACTCAAGTCTAATTCAAGAGAAAATGACGATTTAATGGTAGTTTGTTTATAACTCGCTAGAGCAAGTGATATTTACCATTCGATGGATATATGCTGACTTCTTCACTCTAAACACCGGGGTAAACGGACAAAAATATAAGGGGAATCAACTATAAAGAACACATTTTAAGATGTTAATATATTTTTTTTTGACAAAGAGCAATTGGCCAAAGAGCTTTAGGTGTAGTTATCGCGGAAAGTAACAGAGGGTCTTTGTGACGGCTCTCAATGGGCTTAACTGTCAACTGTCGTACGGCCCAAAAATGTTTGGGCCGTATGACGTTTAAAAACGTCAACCTTCAATTTAAAATAATAAAATTACCGTCATTCCTCAAACAACTATAAAAGAAAACTATATTTTTGAATTGTCAACTGTCGAAGGTAACACTTTTTGAGCGACCGCAAGATGACACCTTTCTACTTTACTCGTCTGTCTCAGACGAAAATGTTCGTGTGAGTGTCATGATAAGAGCCAGGCTCAACATTTCTCTCTCTAAACATTCGGAATAAGACTGACTTGATATTATCGCCGTTTAATCAGTAGTGTTACCAACCGATCACTTGATATCGAATTCCAAGAAGTTACAATTATTTGCCGAACATGCTATCCCGTGGAGGCTCGATTTCCGTCGTTCCCTCCGAGTCCGGTAGGGGAGGAACGTGGGTTCCTTGGCGGCACAGCGGCTGGTAATGGAGCCAATATTACGCGCTGCTTGACGACTGTATGTTAATCATAAACATATCTAAGACATAGTCTCAACTTTTACATGTATTTTCCTGTAAACTTGAGAGAATAATTAAGGTTCGTTAACAATGAATCAACAAAGACACTTCTAAAAAACGCTGAATCGAAATGTTCTTGCTTTAGCTTTAGGAATGAATACAGTACTTTGCTCCTGTGTCTCGATCCCTTTAAAAACTTGTCAGTGTAAAAGATAAGTTGTGCTTTCCATATTTATATGTCTACTTTGTATAAAATCCTGACAGTTCGCAGCTTTAGACAATGTTTCATGCGACATCTAATTTAAAACCAAAATAATAAAGATAACACAATTAAAGAAACCATGCTTGTAGAAATATGGCTGCCATAGCAACATCAAGTTCCGTAAACAATGACAGTTCATACTAAATTCTTCCTTGTTTAAGATTAAATCAAATTTGTTGGCGTCAGCTTGTAATGGCATATTTAGAAACGCCATAAATGTCCCAATCTCTTGCAAAAGAATTCTGTCCCCCTTCCCCTCCAGGTCTAAAAAAAGGTAGCCTCTTTCAGGCGCTCGTTAGTTGGGGCGCAGCGCGAAAAACAGCAAGCGAAAAAATAGCGGACAGGCATTGCTCCGCGCTTCTCCCCATTTTTTTCGCTGGCAGTTTTTCGCGCAGCGCCCCAACTAACTGAACGCCTGGAAGAGGCTAAAACAAGGGTTAAACGATCAGTAAACCACTTTTAGGATCGCTGTGCTAGAAAAAGAAGTGAGTCATTCCTTGAAACATGGCGAGGCCTTCAGAGATCCAAAATCCAAGAGGTGGTGCAAACTGGCTGTCAATCATACTCTTCTGGTGGATGAATGACGTGTTGAAACTGGGCAATAAGCGACCGCTGACCGAAGAAGATTTGTTTCATCTTCTTGAAGATTACAAAGCTGAGGTTCTCGTGGAGGAAGCCGAGAAGTATTGGTTCGAAGAATTAAAAACGAGTAAATCCAGGAGAAAGAAACCGCGATTATGGAAAGCAATGGTCAGCCTTATTCCATGGAAATCATGTCTTGTTATGATAATTTTAAAAACCCTTCAGTCTTTGAGTTTTGTCTCCCTGCCTCTGTGTCTTTGGCTCGTGTTGAAGACATTAAATGATGGCCCAAATCTAGACATGAAGTTTGCTTTCATCTACGTGGCGCTTTTGGGATTGACAAGCCTAATAAAAGCGTTAACGACACAGCACTATGACTACCTAACTGAACTCTGGGGATTGAAGCTCAAGGTGGCGTTAATTGGACTCGTATATAAGAAGGTAGGCTCAGTCATAATATGAATTCCAAACTTAACGACGCAGGATGGGAGATGTTATGTGGCATCAGCCAGTCTGAAATACTGAACTTAACAAGACTATTTGTACGAGACGAGCCGATTTTT